GCTTGGGGCCAGCTGGGCTGGCAGTCGTGCGCAGGAGTGCTGGTGAGAAGAAAGCTTCATAGCTGGAGGTCAGGCTGCCGTCCAACTTCTCTGGACTCTCGTCAAGAGCCTGTGCCGTTGAAATGTCAACCCCCTCTTGTCCACTGTGGGTGTGTCTGTTCAAACGAGCCACTTGCCGCTCGTAGCTGTGCTCTTGACCATTTGTCCTGCGCAGGGACTTCTACTCTGTACGCCTGTGTGGGTGTTTCCCCAATCCTCCATTGGGTGCCTACCTGGAGCAGGTGTTGGGTCTGCAACGGTGGGCAAGAGGGGTCTAGATCTGCGGTCTTGCTTCTTAGTCTCACCTATCTTTGCTTCTGATGGTAGATGAGTTAAAGCCCCAGGACTAGCAGGGCAGTTTGAAGTCCCTGAGTATTGCCACCAGTTCCTGCACATGGCTACTTAAATGAAGATTTGGAGGTTCCAGTCCACCAGAGGTGCCGCAGAAGAAAGGCCTGGCAATCTACTCTAGATTGGGTTGGGGAGGTTGCCCTACAGGGCACAGGGCTACTCTGACACACCCAGGTTTGCTATGCATTGGGGTCAACCGATGGCACCTGGCCAGGAGGTTTTTAAATACCTTGCCACTTAAAGTAGACATTGATAGGCAGAGTCCTGGGTCCCACCCAGCCCCACTGAATCAGAACCTGCTATTTCACAGGCCCCCCCAGGGGGTTCAGACACAGTCATTCCCTAGCGACAGAAGAGCAGGCTCTAGTTCCAACCTGTGCATGGGTCATCTGTGTGAGAGCGCTTGTCCTTGGCTCACAATGACTCGGGACATTTCTAAAGTGCTCGGGGCTGTAGAGCCAGTTCTAAAAACTGTCTTTCCCTTGGATAGTTGTCATTGGCGCACAAGCATGCTGATTCCAGGCAGCCTTCCAAGCAGAAGAAGGAATCGCTCCGTGTGATCCATGGAGCCGTCTCTTAGAACAAATGAAATTACATTGGAAATAAGCATATATTTAAAATGAGTTCCTGTTTTGTTCCACCTGATGTGGGTTCCTTAACAAGGCTGATCTTCAAGGAGCTCTGGTGGTGGTGGTGGTGGTGGTGGGTTACGCATTCAGCTGACAGCCACAAGGTCATCAGTTCAAAATCCACCGATCCCTGAGAAGAAGTAGGAGGAGGCTGTCTACTCCTGTAAAGATGTTAAGTTTTGGAAACCCAAAGGAGCAGTTATATTCTATCTGATAGAGTTGCTATGAGTCTAAATCAACTTGATGGCAGTGAGATGTTGTTTTTTTAAGTTTACCTTAATGGTCATCTGACTGAGCACATGACCTAAGTTTTCAAAGGCTTCTGGCAACTGAAGCTCCAGAGGGTCTGCGAATAGGTCAACACCTATATGTGGAGCCCTGGTATGTGCTCAGAGTCCTGGTGGCATA